AAGAACCCCAACGAGTTTTACACCATGCTTCTAAGCCTTCAGATCTTATTTTCATATTTTTTAACTCTTGTTGTAATAATGCTAATCTTTGATATGATTTGTCAAAGTACATTATAATTTTTCTACAACAATCAATAAATGTCTTTATTTCATGAATCTTTATCAAATCTGTTGCTATCAAGTTGATAGCATGAGCGATGCATCTAAGATTTAATATATGTGGATATTTTCTATACACTTTTTCTTTAGCAGATCTAAGATTTGCTGCTGAATCAGTAACAATAGCTGCGAATTTCTTAGGACCAATTTGCTCAATTATACTTGAGATTTCAGAAGCAATAAAGTCACCAGTATGAGATTCTAATGAATAGTTACATAATGAAATAAGGTATTCTTTTTGTTCAGTGGTTGTTACAATATAATTGTATAATGATTTTCCACACTTTAATATCCACCCATCAAGAGCTAATTATTTATATAAACTATATTAATTATAACATTTTAAAAGCTACATTAAATAAAATAAATAAAATTTAATTAGAATTATGCATACTTAATGTTAGATGCTCAACATATTCTAATTCATTGTTAATACTATTTTGTACACGTGCAACTTCTTTGTCAAGCAACCGTTCAGATAGTGTTGTACATGATGGCAATACATAAGTGGGATTAAAACTTTTAAAAAGACTTTTGATATATGGATTCTCAATTACTTCAAATGATATGTTTGAATTACCCAAGTTTTTAAAAGAATTTTATCATAATTAAAATTGACTTGTGGTGGTAAGGCTATTTGTAGTGAAGAATCTCTTCTATAAGCATTATTGTTTTCTGCAAGTTTATTAAGCCAATATCATCGGATATCTTCAGGAACATCCTGACAATGAAGCGCAAGATGGGACCTTAGAATATAAGGGTTACCCCTCTGCCAGCACTTGCCACAATGAAAACATTTTGCTTTATAGTGTCCTGGATTTACTTTTTCACCCTTGCTTACGTGGTCCCATACTTCATCAAAGACAGAACCACCTCTTCTAGCTTTTTTACGTGATAAGTCACAGTTAGTTAGTTTCTGTTTCTGATGGTGTGGATTCTAATGGCGTAGAAGTACCAGAATTGGGCTCGATAAAAGACATATTGCACAACTTTTTAAAAATAGTCTACAACTTTCGTTCAATTTTCTTTGAAAATTTATTTTTTAATTTTTGTACGATTTATTTATCATTATTTATTTGTACGATTTATTTTTGTTATTTATTTATTTTTTTTTAATTAAAAAAAAAGTTAATTTCAGATAAACTTTTTTAGACTCAATCAACATTACGTCTATTACATTTTTGCGTCACGTCTAAATACCAGAGTTATGTTCAAAATCTTAGTTACAGCAAATATCAGTTATTACGACATATGTTTGCCATAGCACTTTGACGTAACTGCGTATCTTTTTGACGTAACCGCATGCTCCCAAGTTTCTGCACCTATAAATCCATCTATTTTTTTTTTTTCATTCATATATTAATAATACAGTATTAATTTAAGAATAATAAAATATTCCCTATTTAGATTTATCTCATGATTCTGTTCAAATTGATCTGATATTGAAAAATTTTGAATAAATTAAATTATAAATTTATTATTTACTGTATAAAAAAAAAATAAAATATAACTATAAAATTAAAATTTACTGGTCGGGGAATGGATTTAAGAGAAATAAATTTCTGGGAATTACGGACAATGATCTAGAAGTTATTTATGCATTACAATAATGATGATTTGCAATTTATCTTACTTCAAATTAGGCAAACAAACATTTCTTAGAAGCCGAATATAATATTGTTACATAAAATTCTATCACTCGTTATGTTAATTAGAGTATTTTTATTAAATAAATGACATCTTTATTTTGTTAAAACTTTCTAAATAATTAGAGATTTTTTTTTTATAAATTGTAAATAATTTATTTATTAAATTTGTTTTATTAATATATAAATTAAAATAATAATTGATAATTGTTTACTAAAAGTTTTTCATTTTAAATTATAAATTTAAATATTATAATGAACATCAATATAAGAAAATGAAAAACTTTTAAATCATAAATTTAACAATAATTTTTTTTTATACTATATATAACCTTTTTTAAATTTATTATTTTTAGGGTATTAGTTGCAACTGTTTAAAATAAAAGTTAATAATTAATAGGAAAGAATAAAATAATAAATATTTATTTATAATTTTGAAAAAACTTACATAATTACTTGGAGCAATTCCAGTTGTACCATCGGATTTTCTTGCACGCCACCATTTACCTTCTTTGCTAGCAATGTCAAGATATTCATCTTTGTTAAATGAAAGTTCACTATTATCTTCAGGACTTCCATGATCTATTAAATTAATAAAAAGTAATAAATATATATAATCACAAGTTTCAAAATTAAAAAAAAATCTTGATAACTTGAATTTTAATAATATAACTTACAATCATATAAAGCTTTGGCCTTAAACTTATAATCGTCAACTACCATATTAGTACTTTGATTATTTTGATATATTGATTGATGTAAAGATGGTATAGAATTTGTACGTTGATCTTGTACAGGAACTTTTCCAAAATACGAAACTTGTTGTGGTTGAGTAGATGTAGATGGTAATATAACATTCGAATGTTGATCTTGCATTTGTGATTGTCCAATATATATTGTATTATTAGCTTGAATAGGTGAAGAAGTTTCTGTAGGAGACATTACTACACTTAAAGAAGTATGTCTTATATCAGATGTAGGATGCATTGGTCTTGGTTGAGAGCTAAAATGATTACTAATAGAATTAAAGCTCTGATCTATTGCACCAAAATTTATATTGTTATAAGATTGAGCAACTGTTTTTACAACAAATGAATCTTCTTCTGAACCAATTAAGATTATCCAGAAAAACTTTGAAAAATTTCAATGAAATTAATTAGTATTATTTGAGCAATAGAAAAAAAACATATGAAAATAAAAAGTGATTAAAAAGTTACATTGACAATAAGAAGAAAGATCGAGCCAGCCAGAACAGCCTTCGCCTGAGACCAATCAAAAATGGAAAAGACAATACTGAAAGAAGCATTAGCAATAAAACTGATGATTAGAAATGATAAAAGCTGTATTAAAGTGAATATTTAATTATTAAGGAAAATATTTGAATTCAGTATTAAGAATCACCAAATAGGCTAAAAATTATAAGTTTGCCAATTATTATTATATAAACGTAAAGGATACAGCAAAGCGATAATGTTTTAAAGTATCGTTCACAATAAACATAAAAAGACTAAATATAAGAGCCAATTGATAAATAACATGTAACCACATGACAACTATAATAATTGAAGCACCACTTTGGCGAGCAGAAGCACCAAGCGAGTCAATCAAGGCTGAGAAGGCAGCAGTGCCGCTAAATAATATGATCCAACCAATCTGAAATGATAAGCGTTAAGTTAGATTTGACAGTTTAAAATTCAAAAATTTTGATTCAAATAATAATTTTACAATACATACACCAGCAATGATAAAAGTAACAATGTAATAACTTTGAACAACCAAATTAATTTGCAATACCATATTGAATATTTATTAAATTTTAATTTCTTATTAGCGAAAGAGATAATAAATCAGTAATGGGGATAATATGAAGAGAGAATGAATCATGAAGTTGACGCTAAAATCACCCAAGTAAATAATTGACAATATTAATATTATTTGAAACTTAAATTGTTTCGAAAAATTTAAAATATAAGAGGAATAATGAATGAAAAGAATTTAAATACCTATGGAAAAAAGTCTACAATTTAACAGCTGAAAGGAATATTGAAAATATTAACCACATTGAACGTTTATGTGGTTACAGAAAAAGTTAAGAAAATGTAAAATCGTTTTATATCCATTACATTCCACTGTAGAATATCCACATATCACAAGTATCTAATTAAGAAGAAAAACTAATTATTTATTACGTTGCACGAATGTACAAATGTACAAATAAGTGTCGAATTTTCGGAGATGAAAAAAAACTCCGAACTACTGCAATAAGTTTACTATTGCTATCTTCAATTTTCACAAAATTTGTTTACGCATTTTACTGTATAAGAGATATTATAGTTTGATTGTATTGTAAATTTTGTAAAAATAATTTAATCCAAAAACAGGTAAAAATTTTTTCTTGATTGCTAAATATCATAGATTAGAAATTCCAAATTTAAAATTTTAAAATACTATGCACAATACATAACTGATAAAGTATACGTATGTACGTACGTATGTTTAATTTTTAATTTATTTCTTAATGTTAATTATACATTATATATTTGACATTTTAGGACGGAAAGGGTGCATTATTAATTTGAACTCGTGCTTTGAGGTTACAAAGAATCCTTAAGTGCATTCCTTTCAACAATAGAAGGGTTACATTACATCCGGACCAGGTTACACTTACAGTACTCCTCGTTAGAATTATTAAACTTAGATTGGTGTAACAGAATTCGTGCTCAAAATTTGATTTGTATGAAAACGCGAATTAGTTGTCAAGAAAATGAAATTGAATTGCCCAAGAATTAAATTAGCCTTTTCATGTTGATAACCCAAAAAACTTTCTTTCGTTTGATATAATTTATTATTTTGCTTAATAAGTTTACTATTTTCTATACAAATTCATTTATTCGTTTGACAAGTCTACAATATTTTCAGTTTCATAAGTCTACTTATTTTCGATGCAACGTACAATATTTTAATTTGAAGCCGATGAGATCAGTGAATTTACCAGTTGTAAAAAACCGATTTTAATATTTTATCAAAAAAAAAAAAAAAAAAAAAATCTTAAATTTGGTTCGAAATATGTACGATAATCGCTAAAATGTTCTTTGTTAAAAAGTTAATAGTGCATATCTTGGAACAATGTCACCATCTTCCGGAGAGCGATGCAATTTTAAGCGAGAATAATTTAATTTATGAAAAATTAGCATCATTTGAGTGTGATAATAATATTTTATTAAGATCTATTAATATTTAAGAAATTAAGCTAGACCAAGCGCGTTTATGAGTATTGCAAATGAAAAACCTGAAATTGTTAGTTTTCCAAAATTTCAATTTCAGAAATGGCTTATCAGAATCTTATTTTGTCTAAGTTAAATTTCCGACACCCAAATATGAATAAATTATGACATATAACATGTTTGTCCAACATATGATTTTTATATGTTATTCAGTCACTTCTACTCACTCTTGAAATTTTTGTTTAAAGGTGACTGAATAAATTATGAAATTGATTTTCTTCACAGCGGATATCCTAGTGAATTATAATTAAGTACTTATTACGTTAAAATAAAATTTTAATGATCGGAAAATATTTCTTACCTTTTTCTCAAATCTTCTTTTTTTTTTGGTTGATCATTTTAGCAAATTACCATTACTACGTAATGAACCGGATTTTTAATTACCGGATCATGGCTAAAAATACCTGTTTTTATATATAAAAAACAAGTTTTTAACTCAAAATATCGGATAATCCGGATTTTTACTATGCTATTTAAAACTCTGTTGTGTTACGAAAATACATTTTTATTTCACGTAAAGCTTCAATAAAGAAGTTTGGTCAATATCGTTGTATCGAATACTTGATTCGCATTGTAGCTTAATCATTACAACATTTTAATGATAAAAACTACGTATAATGACATCAAAACTTATCATTTGTTCAAATATCTGTTTTATCTTATTTCTGAGATCAAGTTTCTAAAATATCAGGTCCGTATATTTTTCTCCTATATAATTTGACAAAATTTTCTCTCAAACTTTTATTATACAGTACTATTTTGTTTAACTAGATCTATTAATCTGTTTCTTCAGAATACAAACTAATAATACCTGACGAAACTGATGATCCCGACGAAACCATCAAGTTTCGCCAGGCTTCATCAGTTTCGTCAGGCATTATAGTAAATGCTCTATCCACTAAACATGAATATATTCGAATATACTTTTGATCATTCTCATAAAACCGATATTTATCAGTTATATAAAGCTTATTTATTTGTGATACAAAAAATAAATGGCCAACCAGAGAATGTTAATAGTAAGGGCGAGTTTCGACGTTTCACGACATTTCATATTAGTTACTATTTATAAAGAGAATAATTTATTACCTTATTAATGTTAATCCTTTTTAACATGATAAAATTACCGAACGAATGCTTTTTTAAAATATTTAATAATCTCCGTTCTAATCCTAAATTCTTATTTTCATGTCTTCTCGTAAATCGCCAATGGTGTAAAATTATTGTACCAATATTATGGAGTGAATTATATAATTTAGGTGATAAAAGACTTATAACATTATTTCTTTTAATGTTAAATGTCAAAGAACAGGCACTATTAATCCCTTTTAATATTATACTTCCAAATTATCCAAAACCTTTATTTGAATATACAAGTTATATTATAACTCTTGGATGTTGTGAATTAGATAAGGGAATAAATGATTGGCTTGATTATAAACAATTTAAATTAGATCATGAACTTCAAATAAGCGCTATTAAATGTTCATTAATTTCAATGTTTCTAAGAACAAATAAGAAGCTTAAAAATTTATTTCTTAATAATTCTATTCCCAATAATTCTAAATATATGATAATAAAAATGTTAGTAAAAATTCTTTTCCTCCATCAGAACCAAATTGATTATTATTAACAGATAAACTAGTCAGAACAGTATTTTTGCAAAGAGCCTCTGCTAATGCTTTACCACTATTAGAACCAAGTTGATTACTACTAATATCTAAAGTAGTAAGAATTTTATTCTTGCAAAGAGCATTTGCTATTGCTTTACCTCCCTCAGAACCAAACTGATTAAAACCAAGATCTAAAGAAGTTAGAGTAGTATTTTTGCAAAGAGCATCCGCTAATTCTTTTCCTTCCTTAAAACCAAATAAATTATTGCTGAGATTTAAAGTAGTTAAAGTAGTATTCTTGCAAAGAACATTTGCTAATGCTTTTCCTCCGTTATAACCAAGCTGATTCTTGCTAAGAAATAAAGAAGTCAGAGTAGTATTTTTGTATAGAGCATCAG